GCCATTCTCAAGGTACATGTGTGCTGCTTGAAGTATCATCACTGAATAGCTTAGTACATTATTTTCAGAGTATACATAACTATATATTTGAGTTGAAAGGGGTTAGAATTGATAAAGTTCAAAATAGTGCCTATTTTCAGTCATGCCTGTGAAACCAGAAAGTTCAATGTGAATAGTGCTGTGGCTGTCTATTCACGCTGCTACTCCGTTATAAAATCATGTAATTATTGGAATTCAAACACCTTACCTAATGTTATACAATATGGCAAAAGATTCTGGAAATTCATCTTTGAACAAGTATTTACTGTCAGATGATTTGCCACTGAATTACTGTTGTTTGTGGAACTGAAGCAAGTTTAGATCTTGAAAGTGATTACAGTGAAGAAATATTGTCTGATTTAGTTGAGAGCAAATCAATTCTCAAAAATATTGTAAGATATAATAGTTGAATGCACAGGGTTTTTAATGTGGTTTTCAAAATGAGGAGGTGGGGGAGGGGGAGAGGAGAGAAGGGTTCCCTTCTCTCCTCTCCCCCTCCCCCCACCTCCTAATTTTCGCCTCGCTTCATTTTTCGCTCGGTCTAATTTTCGCCCAAACTTTACTAGAACGCCTACTCTGCAGGCTAGAGAAAACATCCCTATTGTTTACCACTCGACTTAATTGTAAAAAGAAAATATATAACCTTAAATAGTATAAGACGAAGCTAAAATGGCTCGTTAAGAGAAGTAAGGAATTGGTTCTTGACTTACCACTGTCTTAGAACATGTGCTTCACCGATAGCCACAGCACATAACCTCGCACATCATTTCTTAGCATTGATCGCCGACGATCATTCTTGAGCCACGCTTCTGGTGAGCCGAAAACCAACGAATATTTTCCATACTCAATACTAGGGTGGTCAATCTCTGCTTGGGAACTAATGTTTACTGCGCTGACTCCAATACTTTGCAGGTAATTGACCTGATCCTCCATGAGACTTATGAGCGGAGAAACAATAACAACAATATGCCCAGCAAGATTGTTGATGTGATCGCACACGAGTGGAAGAGTCTGATAAATAAAGGATTTTCCAAACCCTGTAGGCAGGTTTAGAAATAGATCTTTTTTTCGCAAAAGAATTTTCTCAATTGCCAGCTTCTGGGGATCATTTAAACTGGGAATTTTGAATTTGGAAGCGGTCGAGACAAAAGTTTCTTCGAGAGTTGCCATTTTCTCTGCTCAATGAGCCGCCGATAGAACACGAGTTTTGATTAGACGACTAGTCTTGGCGGGACTTACTCAGAATTATGATTGGCTAAAACCAGGGAAAGGAATGCGGCCGGTTGGTGGGGGAGGGAGCGTTGCGTGACGAGCCGAAACAACGGCTGCGAAGGAGACTAGAGCAGGGGTCGATCTGTTGACTAAAAAAGAGAAGAGAAAAAAAAACGACAGCCTTTCCTGGTTACAGGGATAAAAACAATTTTCCGCTTTCCTGTCTATGCAGATAAATCCGTATATGACGATTATGGTGATCCTTGACCTCGTTTCGGCCATTCCGGCATTCCTGAAATACTATGTAAGCACAAAGCTTCCAGCGTAGGGGTGAACGTGGGTAGAGGGGAGGGGAGTTTTGTGCCTTGCTTATCGAAAATGAAGTAATAATACCCGCTCAACGTTTTGTTAAGAAACATGTCAAGGTTGCCTGAGAAGCATTAGGAGCTTATCAACAGATTTGTCTCTCTTTATTGACACAAAAGTTAAACAAAACTGACACAAATTATGTTCCTTATTTTGATATTCCTTCAGAATACAACAGGCACGCATTTAGAAATTGAAGGGTCACTCGGCAACTGCGCAGCGAGTGGTTTATTTTTGAAACAGTCGTGAAAGTATTAATTTCGAGGGAAAATCGTCATGAAAAACGCAATTATTATGCCGAATTATTAAAGATAAACTTCTATAAATATGAGACATTTTTGTTTTCCCCCAAAGTTGAAAGTACCAAGAGCATGCCATAAATTTCTCGGCCAAGGTGAACCAAAGTCACGCTAAGTAAAATACTTTGATTTTTCCATAAGATCGGAACAAATATGCCAAAACCTAGCCTTTCCTGGCTTAAAAACAAAGTTTAAATTTGACTAGACCCACCTGATTACCTTTAAAGCGTTGCAGAAGATCCGCAGAATTAAGTAGTCGAATCAAAGCACCGCTATTTAAGACTGATCATCTGTAGCTAAAAAGGTAATATATGAACAGTAAACAAACGGAACCCGGGACTATTTCAGTTTGGAATCTATAAAAGAAGCACTCTGTTGAAGGGATTTTTATACGAGCCATTCTTGTCTGCATAATTCTGGGTCTTATTGTGTTGTGTCTACATACGATCAAGAGCGGAAGTTGGGTTTTTATTTTCAGGCGCAGAAGAAATCAAGCGTAAATTGGGCTAATATCCCACTTGTTAACTTATTCAGTTGCTCTCTTGATGGCATTTAAAATAAGGATCCGTAATTAACTAGCTTTGACCAGGTTTAGCAAGGATGCAATTGAGACACATGGGCTGTTATTTTTCAAGTATACAGAAGACAATGGATTAAAATGAAAATTAATGAGCTCATGTTTTGCCAAAGAATTTATCCATCACAGTATGTCAATGTCCCAAGCATGACAAGGAACTTTATGGAGGAAAGGAGTATCAAAGTCTCTCTCACTGGATATGTCACTTGAATGGAAGATGAATGTAACTGTCTTGGGCTCTCTTTGACATGATGGAAGAACAGTTTCCATCATGCGACATGAGGGAAGTCATTTTCCTTAAGTAGACGTATTAAGGATTACTAATCATGAACAAACAACTCGTGTTTCTATCAAAACAACTTGTCCATTTGATTTCTGACTGTTTGTTACCATCACGAAAACAAACTCCGACAGTAAGGAAGTCAACCGTTTTGAAGTCGGGTAACAGGGATGCGGCTGAAGGGGAAACCCCCTATCCCAACATGCACTTCGAAGCAAAACCGGTTTTATTTAACAGCCAAGCAAGGTTTCGGTGTTTTAGTCTTGAGCACTTACTAAGTACATGCGGCAGATTGCTACTCATTTACGTCGTCTTTTAACGTTTCCACGGCTGTCCGATAGAAATCAACATGTTGGGACTGTGGTGCAAATATAACGCCTTTACGCTTTTACTCCTGTCACTTGCGGTATCGTCGGTAAGTGAAAACTAATTTCAGTTACGCTACATATTTCTTGTTCTCGGTTTCGTGGTTTTTGGTATTTCATTGTGACTAGGAAGCACAGAAACGTCCTATCACGAGACGATGATTAAAGACTGATTTACATTCGTTGCTGTTTTTAAAATGAACGACATTTCCATATAGCCCCATACATTAATTATGCATTTCATTTCATAAAGACTAAATGTAGAGGTTTCTGTGCAATGCTCTATGAATAATTAAAATATAGGGTTATATGGAAATCTTGCCAAATGAAGACTTGAAAGAGTCATTTGCTTGATGGTATTTGAATCCTGTTCTTCAATGTTTTCATAACGTCTCCATCGATGTCCTGATTTTATTTATTCATAATAACAAATTTTCGAGTCAGCGTTAATTCCGCTGGGACAGTGTGTGACGGAGGTGGGCGTCAGGTACTCGGCGCAGTTGAAACGTTGCAACCTCGGTCTTTTTGCCGTTCTTGAAAAATGTTTGCTCGCTGTATAATCAACGGGTTGAAAAACCATAAATGTATTTACAGTCGATATGTCCGAGATCGTCTTGGATTGATTTTAAAGACGCAGCTATTCTTCTTAGTTTGTTATTAGAAGCGACCCAGGTCATAATTTGCATATAATTTCCGGAAAAAGGAATACTTCACATAGGTTTCCTTTCTGTTTGATTTCTCTCCAAGTGAGTCATGATAAAACCTAGCTAGTATCCTGACGTTTTGCTATTGGAGTTTATCTTTTTTAATTCGACCTTCTATCTTTTTTTCTGATCGTCCCTAGCGTCTCATTGAAGTAATAGAATGCCAATTTTTCAACTGCTGATTCTTCGTTGTTTCCATTCGTCCAAATTCAGCGGACAAGAAACACAGAGCACCTCAGAAGTCCAAAAATGATTGAATATTGTTTCTTTTCAATTGAAAGATCTAAGAAATACCCAGAAATTAAATAAACAAATAAATAAATAAATAAATAAATAATGACTTTATTGGATTACACAATTACTGGTAGAACCAGTAGTTTTCATTGTGGTCTTTGCAAACAATTGAAATAAATAATTCAAATCGAAAAAAGCATTATTAAGAATCCCAACTGGCCGAAGACAAACCAGTTGGCTATTTACAAGCATGGCCGAAGATTTGAACTCGGAACTACCGTGAAACAAATCCAGGTAGTAGTCATGGCGGGACTCGAACCTGGGAGCGGCACACTACCTCCAATTCCGCGAGTGTCGGCGAGTGGATGTGTTTTGCCTTAAAGGGGCAATCGATGGCCATCAATTACCTTCAAGGTTAAACAGAAGTTATTATTATCTCCTAAGTGCTCTTGCGACAAACAGTCGCATTGCCTCAGCCGATCAAAACCGATTTTCTAGAATCTACCGAGGATTTCAGCATGATAGGATTTTGGCTCGAGATCGCCTGCTTTCGATATTTTAAACTTGCCAGCATCATGCATCCTGCACACAGTAAAACGACCTCGTTTTATAGGATTCTGTGGTCGTCAGGGAAATTTGAAACACGCGACTCTTGACTCCTGCACTTCAGACGATTCATTGTACGAGCAGTAGACATAACAATCAAAGACAATTGCAATACACAGTGTGAAAACTTTTATTTGACACCTTTGCTTTTTCAACATGTTTTGCAAACTAGATGTTTCATTTGGTGAGCTTACAATCCTTTTTGCTAAGTATAGGAACAAATTTCAAAACTCGATTGGTCCCAGGAGAAAGTAACGTTAGTTCATAAAAAGTGCAGACACGAAGGAGTTAAAGTTTTTAACCCAAAGAGAAAAGAGCGTCAGCCTTCAAAAGCGCTGGCAATAAAGCTTGTGCTCTAAAAATAGGATTCCGTGAGCCTACAATATGGTGGGTGTTTATGTTCCGGTGCACTTTAATTTTGTTCCCGGTGAGAACATTTAGTCAGTTATTATTTCATGATACGTGCAAATTGATACCTTATTGACGAGTTACTTTCAAACAACATCTCCGTTGAAAGATGTTTCCATTATCCATCGGTAATAAGACACGTATCCAGCGGAGAATTGAATGAATTTTCGCTCACGCGACGCAGACAAAACATATCATTAAACGCTTTCTAGCTGAGCCCCTTTTGTTAATCCTACTTAAATTATTGCCTAGCGCAAATATTGCTGGAGTTTTTGTCGGAACGAAAATTACGCACTGCAACTTACTTTCCATTTTAGTTTAGTTTTTTTATCTGCTCCTTTCCGCATTTGAAGAGAGCAAATGATTTTCTTGAGTTCTTTTCTATTCACAGAATCAATATTTTCCTGAGAAAAGCGTTTTGTGTATAATTTCTTTGAAGCAGACTTTGTGATCCAAAACGCTCAGTAATTAACAAAGCAATGATTGAAAAAGGCAATATTTGCTTACCATAATTGGAAATACGTAAGATTCGTTTTCTGAAAGTAGTTCGAGATTTTTTAAGCTATTTCCTATTGGGATTATCTAGGAACAGTCAGGAGTTGTGGAAAAATAACATTGTACGGTGCCGAGCATCCACTTCCTCACAGAAAAACTCGCCTAGCGATGAAGAGAAATGCTTGGTGTCGAATGGATGCACTTCTAACTTCTGCTTGATAATCAAAAATAGTTTTTTCAAAACTTTTGAACATGTTCCCCGGGAAATTATGACCGCAAACAGCTTTAGTATTCTCGAACATGTTTCGAAAACGGATGTTGCGCATTTCCTGTTTTTTTCTTATCCCAGCATTAAAGCCACAATGCATGTGCAACGGACCTGTAAAGATCGAAGCGACGAACATAACACTTCAACAGGCTGTTAATAGAGCCACCGCTGATAAATAATTTTTCATGTTCTGATTGTCCAAACTGATTAAATTCAAAGTAATTCGGGTGCCTCTTACTGTGTCTGAAAACAAGAATTTGCTCTATATATGCTCTAACATTTTCCTTCTTTAGCTACGGAATAAGAGTTAATGTAGAAAATATTGATCTAGAGCCTGTCCAGGACATATTACAACGCTTTCATTTTTGCCAATTACGATTGAGGACCATTTTCTGTCAACTATAAAAATTACCCAAATTTGATTCTTCGCGAGTTCTTGCCCATACGAGAAAGGGAAAGTTCGAATATTTAAGGGGAGTCCCGTATGCATGCAGCTCGGTACTGGTCCTATATCATTGTCAGAACGAAAGAAAAAGTCCAAATATTGGGGGGAAGTCCCATATCCCACCATGCAACTCGGTACCGAACCCTATATAAACGAGAGCCCCTATATAAACAAGAGCCAAGAAATTACCGGCCTTTTTTAGTCTTAACTGGTGTTTGACACACTTCGGCAACTTGTCGTGTTTCGTCGCTTTCAAACTTCAAAATCGTCTCAACTTGTAAAGAAGCAGGATGTTGGGAATTGCGTGTTTTGCTCTTCTTTCAAGTTTAGCATCTGCAGTAAGTAACTAACATTCGAATAAAGGCTGATAGTTTCAAATAGACAGTTTCGAATAGATTGTTTTTTTCTGTGCTAAATGGCTGTGACTTACTTTGCATATTTGCGGACGGATGGTCATGACGCGGTTTCGCTGTGGTCTCACTATGGAAACTGTGGTTCTGGTGACATCTTAAGTCATGTTAGCATCTTAAATGTTTATTTTTTTTATTTTTAATAATTTACTGATTTTTATTTATTTGTTACTGTCTGTGTTCAGCGTGCCAGAGTTGCTTTAAGGAGCTCTCTTTTTCGTAAGATTCACTTAACCTTTTATCGCTATTTAGCCTAACTTCTTGTAACAGTTGTTCTGAAATGATCACTCAAAGGACAAGTAAAAAATGTATTCCGGCAGTCTTCTTTTGCCTTAAGGACCATGAAGCAATTTTAACCCAAGTAAAATTTTACTCGCTGTGCATAGCTGGTGCCCTTATTGTGAAACCGAACTGTTTGTAAACGTAGTCAAAACAAATAGCTATGACCGAAATTCAACGGAAACAAAAATAAATGAGCTACTGATCACCGCATTCGTTAGAAAAAACTATGTCAACCGCTTTTGCCCTGACTAAATCTTCGTTAATTTCCCAGGAGAGTCTACCTCTTTTTTCAATATTTGCTTCAAGTTTGTGTTCTTTCCTAACCGGGTTTTTGAAGACGAAGTTAAAGAGACGAAAAATGTAAGTTCAGAACAAAAGTGGACTATCAAGGTTAACACTACTACTTTCTACCCAGGAGTGCCCTCTTCGTTTTCAAAATCCGAACACCTCTTACAAAAGTAATTACCACACGTCAAACAACTATAGTTTGTCTTTGCATAGCAAGAACTACAAATTCCTCCGTCTCCCACCATTTTTTTGTGCTGTTTTGGCTTTTTCGTGCATGGCATTCACAGAATTTCTGTCGAGTTGTGGGTAATGAAAGAACCATAATAATTTCTTATGATTCATGCACATGTAAGATGCGACGTTTAAATCAAAAGTCGAACATTCGACTGTTTCAGTCGTAGATACGGCGAAAGTCGCATTTAATTTAAAACAGTCGAATTTAATTGATTCAAACGTCGCACTTCGCATGCATTTAGCACATGTGAAATTGACGTTTCCACTCACGTGTAACACTTACGTGTAACACGTGCCCACGAAAAGTGATAATTTTGGAGAAACAAGAAAGCAAACACAATGCGCAGCAAATTTGTAAAAATCACTTTTTCCAAAAAACAAGCTCCAGTGAAAGAAGACTAATTAAAGAACTTATTTCCAACGAAAAAAGCGATAAGTGCATATTACGTTTTGACTAAAAAATCAAGATGAAAGTTAAAAATCGCAAAATATTTTCGCATGTGTGCAAATGGGCATGTGGATCTTATTTCAAAGAGAATATGCAAATTTGAGAGATCTCAAGTTCCATGGAATCTATCAATAAGAAGCAAGACTAAAATGGCCAAGAAATAAGTTGGGACGACAAATTTATTCAAAACAGTTTTTCATTTGCTGTTATAAGCGAAAAACGTACGAATTTCTTACGTGTACAAAGCCCACGCGGTAAAATTCATCATGCTTAGATCGTTGTTTACTTGCCTTCATGGCCAGAAAATTGCCCAGCGTTCTGCTGAAAATTCTGAAAAAACTTCGATTTGACTCAAAATCTTCAACTAATTTAAATTAAACATATTTTTCCTTACCTAACATGATTATAATCAGAATCTCAGGGTCCATTACCATCCTTAAACCCCGGTCTGAGATTTATTTCGATTAAATAATGGGCCCTATACGTAAGTCACGCCGTGCCAAACATAACTCACGAAAAAGACCGAAAAAGGCCTGAGACACATACTCGTACCCAGAACAAACGGACGCTGAGTTTGAATGTTCAAAGTTTGAATGTCGAAAGTGAATGTCGAAACTTTGAACGTCGAGAGTGAATGTCAGAACTGATATTTCAACCGGCGAATTGTCGAAATGAATGTTGGAACTGACGAATCGAATGTCTGAAATGACGAAGTGAATGTTCGATTGACAAATTGAATCTTTGAATTGCCGAATGGGACGTTTGAATCTTTGAATAGCCGAATGGGACGTTTGAATTGCCGAACTGAGAGTTTCAACTGACGAACTGAATCTTTGATTTGACGAATTGGACGTTTGAATCGCCGAGTTGAATGTTTGAAGTGACGAATTGAATTTTTGAAGTGACGAATTGAATGTTTGAAGTGACGAACTGAATGTTTGAAGTGACGAACTGAATGTTTCATTTGACGAATTGGACGTTTGAATTGCCGAATTGAAAGATTGTAAGCTAACTTTCGAAACCTACAAGCGTTAGCAAAAGCTGTTAGACGAGCAAAAGAACCCAAAACACCGTCAAAAAATTCAAATGCAGTGGAAATCGCCCCATCTGTTTCTACTCCGGTGCGACTTAACGCGGAGACCAACATGAATTCCTCGGCTGACTCGGCCGGATTAGAATGGCCTTCAAGTCCGATAGAGACTGTACCGAGTCGTTGTCCAATCAGACTTCGCGTAAGAAACGGTTTTTTCAAGAACAAATCAAAAATCGCTTTAGATATTTGGTCACAGAGAGCAGGAAATCCTTCGGTAAACCACAGACGCTAGTATTCGGAGAATTATCAAGCGTCTGTACGCAGGCTAAGCAGCAATCGATTTGTTAACGTTCAAAAGTGGCCGAGAATTCTGAAGTTTTACACGTAACTTGGCCTCTATGGCTTGGGGCAGCTTACTTTCCTCATGACAGAACAAAGGCAAGAAATATTTTGGCAGGAAACGAAAGGTTTAGAGACTAAGTTGATTGGTTCCAGTATTTTAAGCCATTATTTTCGGTTGTAACCAGTAAATGCATAAATGGTGCCTTCGCTGAGTTATATTGTGTTTGGACCTTTCCCTACTTTTTTCAGAGACTGGATGATAACCCATGAACTGTCCATTAATTTAATTTGTCTGTGTTTTTGTATTCATTTGTTTCATCGGATTCTTTGAAAATTTATTGAGCTAAGGTACCCAAAATAACGACTCGGAACTTTTCAGCCTTTTCTTTTTAAGTTTCTTTTGAGGTTTGGCGCTACCAAAGAAATCTAAATAGATTTAAGCAATCATTTTACAAAAAGAAAAACAAAACAAAACAAAGCAAAACAAGAATCCGCCAAAATTTGTCCAAATTTGATAAGTTTCAACCTAATAAGTTTCCCCCAGCTAAGATAAGCCACTTTGATTTTGATTTTCATTCAACATTTCATTAACTTACAGAGCTCTACGGCCTTAAACTGCCAACCAGGCTATTACTTTGACGGTAAAGGGTGCACCAAATGCACCCAATGCCCTCTGGGATATGGGTTAAAGAATCATTGCTCAGACACTGGCCATGGGGATACCCAGTGCCAACCCTGCATCGAAGGATATGACTATTCAGATACCATTGGATTAGACGAATGCATACAGTGAGTTTTTACCGGAATAAAACTCCTTTTGTTATCTCGTCGTAGTACACAAATGATACACTTATCATGTTGTTTAACTGTCAGACACTTTCTGTATTCTTAAACATCTATTTTATGGTGACATTGACCCAAATATGTTTCCCTTCGGCCCTCCGACACAGTTAATATGAACAAATCATTAATTGTTAAACTGTTAAAAACTAATCAACTCATTCATCCATTGATGCATCGATTTTTTCAGTCGTTTTTTTTTTTTTTATCTTTAGAAGTATCTTCTCTTCCCCTCTTCATCATAATTTAACCAGCTAACCTTTCTTTGAAACATTTATTAAGTCGCGGGGAACACGTACATGACCAAGTAACCAAAATATTACACTAGTTTTCTCCTTCCGAAAAGCGAGAGGCAAACAGGCAACTTCTTGCAGGTGGGGATTTGAACACTATCGCTTTCCTCCTTAGCTTGTCTCTTGCGCCAACATTCCGCAGGATTCGCCTGAGAAGATGAAAACAAACTTACGAAGGCTACGATGATTTATTTTATTTTATCTGTCATTAGCTTAGCAAGATTCATTTGACATATCAGCACCCTGATTATTTTATTAATTGTTAACAATGATTTCTCGTCCCTCTGATAAAAAAAATAAACAAAATAAAGAAAGTGTTTTTTTATTTCGTGTAAGGTGTGACACCTATTCGAATTGCCTGCCTGGACAATCAAAAATGATTAAAAAGTGTACGGTATCCTCCCCACCCGAATGCGATGGGTGTGAAGATGGATACTATATAGACGACGAGGTCAATGGCTGTACGAGGTGCTCGTCTCCATGTCGCAACGATGAGGAAGAAGTGCAAAAATGCTTGACAAAGCATGACCGCATTTGCAAACCGAGAAGTACACGTACAGATCCAGTGTCAACAGCTTCATCGACTCCCACAACTTCAACGTCAAGTACTTCTGGTAACCTTGCTTTCAAATAATTTCGACATAGCTTCTGACTAAGAACACTAAGATCTATTTTCTCAAATATTCCGTTAGCTTGTTGGTTCACTTATCACAAACGCCTTACCAGCTGAGAGCCAATATCAATGTAATCAAATTGTACCTGCCTTAGCGTTTGAAAGTTTGTGTAATTTGAGGACAATAACTGATCGTAGTACACAAAAAAAGGAATTTAACCATAGAACCATTTTATCAAATACTCTTGGGTAATACTTCGATTCAAATTTTATCTAGAGGTGCCTTGACATTGGCTATTCGTGGCCCTTCACTACCTAGTTAATTGATTTATCTAAGAAGGTTAAAAATTGGATCTCTTCAGTTCTGGCTTCACGACTCTCAATCGGCGCGCGCCTCGGGAATATAACTGAATACATGATTATCTTTTTTTTTCAGTTCACAACTCGAAGGATAAGGCACTATCGACCAGTGCGAGCCAGCGGACTGCTGTCACGAAGACTGACGCAGGAAGACACCAGTCATCAGGCGAGGTGCCGACAGCTGAAGGCTCGTCTCAGGCTCAAGGAACTCTGAGCAAATACCTCATGATTCGAATTTCTGTGGGAGTTTGTGTTACGATTTTACTAGCAATAGTTATAACTGTTGTCGGCTACAAAGTAACGAGAGCAAGAAGGCGAAAATCAAACGATAACGGTGATCCTGACAGAACCAACACATTGGAACTTGCTGAAACTCAGCCATGTGTGCCAAAGGGTAAGAGTTATAAATCAAGAGACGTACCGTTTAGGTACGTCTATATGAACCCCAGTTTCAGGATGCTCTTAGCTTGGTAACATTTGGAGCTGCTGTTTGGTCGTTCCGCTAAAAAGTTGAGGTCACTCCACCGATATACCTTAAGTCCTTTCTCCTCCAAATTATGAAGATTAGTCGTTTGACCCTAGGACTGAAAGTTTAAGAAATATTTCCAGGTGTTCTCCTGATCCTATTATTTCTTTCGCCTTAATCTCGTAGAGTTCCTGAAAACCATTAAAGGTGTAATGCTATATGTTGCCTATCCTGTTAAATGGTCTCTATAATTGCCATTATAATTACAATCGTAAGATACTACGTTGTGTGAACACGGTCAAGTAAATTCTCGCCACTGCTTTGACAAAACATTCATATTGATAAGCAAAATAATAACAATTTTGAAAATAATATCGAATCAGAGAAAAATAAAGAAAGTACGTCAGAATCATTACCGCGAGCTCCAAGCAACGAAATGTCCACTTACAATTAATTTTTGAGCTATTCCCTTCCCCTAGATATATTTTAGCTGTAAAAATATTAAAACATTAATTTTTTGTTACACAAGGATTGGATCGTTTTGTAAAACATCTTGAAATCCACGAGAAGAGAATTATAATCAGAGAAATCAGTGGCTCACTCGGGGGTAAGTGAATGTGAATTTCCTCTTACCTGTTTTTTTAACTAAAAGGAGTTCGATTTTCTCAAACAAGAAAAACAAAACCAAAAGAAAAAGAAAAAAAAAAAAGAGAGAAACAGTATTTTGACGGTTTACTCATTCAATCGCTAGGTTGATGAATGATTGGATTGACTGACTATTTACCCCAGCATCTTTTATCAATCAATCCGTAGGTCGTTCACTTTTCATGTGATAATTTAACGAGAAGTTGTTACCTTAGTGACTGAGCGAGTTTATCGCTTCCAACCCCACGAGTGCACATTTTAGCCTTTTGGCATTCGTAAACCTCGTGCTCTGATCAAGGGTGTGATCGAACGGAGAAAAAAAACTACGGTTATGATGTATTCACCTAATTTGAATTTGACTGTTCCGGCCATAGGGTAACACAGAGTGAATCAGGTTTCAAATGACGAAACAGTTTAAACTGCATTGATATTCGGAGTGGTAAGCGACAGCCGAAGAATCAACTAATCAAAATGCCTGAGAACTGGCATTGTGATTGGTGGCTTCTTCCGCTTCTGCGTGCGACTCTGACAATCTAGTCAATCTAACTTTGATGGGATCATAGGCGTTGGAGTCGCAAGCGAAATTGGACGGAAATGGAAACCTTCTGATTCTTCCGAGCTTACGACTTCGATCCGTTTCCGGTAAATAACTGCCTTGATTCATTGATTGATGAACAATTACATATCTTTCGCATTCAAGGCTTTACTAAATGGCAGACTGTCTTGGACAAACTTGAAGACCCTGAATTGGTTGAGGAATCTAGGGTATGGACAGCAGATGACGACGAAAAGAATATTAAAAAGTTTCTAGATGCATATGGTGAGAAGGAGGGAAGCACAGCTAAAAGATTGATTCAGGCCATCAGAGATGCTGGACTTAGTCTCTCTGCCAATGAATTGGAACGAAAACTTGATTCAGATAGAGGTGGACAAAGTGGAAATTCTGTCGAGATACCGGCAGTTGAAAATGATACTTGGGTTTAAAAGGTTATTTTCTCATTATCAAATTGCTGGTTTTCACTGTCACACCATCACCAAAACCATTAAACATATAAAGCCAAGAATCAAAGAGGTAAAGAAGAAGTTACTCGGGCGTAAAAGGTCATTTTCTCATTAGCAAATAGATCCCATCTTTTCATAAGATTGTCAACAACGAAGATTTGAAGGTAGTTCTTTATAACTTATCGCCTCGCTGTTTTGACCTAATTTCCCCTGTTGTAAACACCTTGTGTCGCAATCGTCTCTCCTCCAGTCTACTTTTTGTGGTAATTAGAAACTGACAAATAGTCACTAAATATGGCTGTATTACAATATGTGACCGCAGTATCCTCTTATGGATCAATTACTGAGTAAAACGTCAGCACAGTACCATCAGCCTTCTAGCAGTATTGAACCCAAAACGTAACCAATTACAATGACTACTTCGACCCCAAAGGCCACCAATTTGCAATTAAAATTCAGAGGCTAATTATTGTCCTACTTGCTAGGGTTATGATAAAACAAAAACAAACAAAAACAAAAATAAGAAAGAAGAGAAAGGGTTATTTAACTCGAGTTTCCCTCTGTGTCGTTATAACATGCACACTTGTTCAAAGCCTGACCAAAATATGTGAGAAAAGATGGGAAGCTTGTTGGATATGAGATGATAGATAGCCAACGAGGCGCGTAGCGCCTCGTTGGCTATCTATCATCTCATATCCAACGCGCGCTCGTGGAATAATTGTTAATTAGTTTGTTTACTCTCATTACTTGTGGGCTGGATACTGTATGGACATGATAGAGAGAGGTTTCATGTCAGTCACCTTTGGGGTTAATGATATTTGCTATGCTTTTCTTTAATTCCATATTTATTATGAGCTGTTTATATTACAGTAATTAATTGTGAAGTATCCTAGCTCTAATATAAATTGATTGATTGAATTTAGGATATATTTAATATAATAATTGATAGAATTTTGTGTATATTTATTATATTAAATGTTATCTGGTATTTGGAAAAACTTCAAATAATATTTTATTTCAATTACGCATAAAAATAACTATTTGAATATCATTTGATATTTATCCTAGTTTATAGTAATTAATCGTTTGTCTGATCAACTCTGCCTACAGAGTTGACCAGCAGAAAAGGAAAGGGGAGGGGGGAGGGGAGGGTAGGGGACATACGAAAGGAAGAGAGAGGGGAGGGGCCTATGAAAAACTAGAAATCTAATTAAACAATTACCAGTATTTGAAATGTACTTGGTTTTTAGAATAAAGAGACAGTTAATTTAATTTGCAGTCATTTTTCATTTGCCATTTTAAGACAAAAATGAGGAAAAGAAAAACAGCATCAACAAACCAACCAAGGTATAAAACTACAGTTTTCTTTTTTTCGCATTATTATACCCTTAGATTATTTATTGCTAAATTGAGGCACTGACGAAATGGAAAAATTACCCTTACCCCCAGGCTCCCTCCCCGCCCCCTTCATGCACACACACCCCTGAGAAATACGTTGGTCATCTAGCGTCGAAGTAACAGTGTATCCCTCGCGCCATGATCATGACCCATGGGGCAACAGTGGTGGGGGATTCGAGATACCAGCGAAGGGACTTGGGGACTGGTCTGAGATTTGAAATTTCAGGTCATTGATGAAACTTACTACTAACCCTAAAAGAGTAAAATACAACTAATCTCGATTTTCTTTAGATCCGAAATGTCAATGCCTTGGAATATCAGAGTTTCGCTTCTGACGACAATTTGAGCCGATTGCAGTTCTGATATTTTGATGATTTATGATGGTACCTCGGTAGATCTGAAACTAGGAGACATCGGCTCATTGGTAGAATTCATCGCATAGGAAACGAAGGGGTGTAAGCTAGAAAAAATATCTCAAGCTACAGAAAGAACGACATTCATAATTCACATGGGCAACTGAAGAGGGGCCGAAAGGGAGTCTTTTGCACGATTCACGACTATTAAATATAACAGATAACGAATCACGGTAATCGATATTCTAATTTCACGCTTCACGATAGAGAACTTGATAGTGAAAAAAGATCGTGCGTTCTTGAAAAATCGTGAATTTCTTTCCGTCATTTCATGCCAAGCGTCCACAGTTCCAACGCCTTTTTGTAAGAAGAAGATCAAAGAACTTGACAGGTCGATAAACTTAATCTCAAACACAATTAGTGAATTCCTGCATTCTCCCGCCAGAATCCACCAGTTGATCGGATTTGGATATGCTACATCATAGTCATTTGTAGTGGGGGTGGAGAGGAAGAAGCAAACAAAGTTGGGAGACTGGGTTCGTTTATAGATCCATTCCCGTGGTCAAGTGAAATTAAGAGGAAGGAAATTTAATGATTATCAAGCAACACAGACAAATAACCAAAATAAATAAGAAGTGGCTCCACTTCCTAGTATTAGGATTTAGAACTTGAAAACGCTTTTACCGGGAAAAGTGACGGATGAGGAACCGACGAGGGCTTTCAAGAAAATAGCGAGGTTACAAAGTTATCAAGATGGCGGACGAAGGAGTGAAAGTGCAAATGAATATTCGCCAAAATGCTGAAGAATTGCAAGACATCATGAAGGAGTTAAACAGTTGGCAGGATGAAATGATAATAAAAGATGAAGATCTTCGAAATTCAAAGACAATAACAAAAAAGGTTTGAGGAGAAAGCGTGTTTCAGTTACATATCGTAGAGACTGCGGTACTAAAATTTATAGCTGTAACGCAAGTATGCTTTCAGAATAGCTAATGATTTCTTCGAAACGAAGGAAAAGAAACGCAATATCACTAAAAATATATTTTTTTACATATTTTTCTGATAATTTCAATATCAAACGCTCTGTAATCTGCATATCACATCCTGGTCTTAATCCAAAGACGACTTCGACGAGTCGCTCTATTGTTTGATTCGATTGCCAAATTGACCCTTGCCTTGTGAATTATGAAGCTTCTCACATTTACAACCATGCGGAATTTTTGTTGGTGTAGCTTTGTTGTTTTTATTTCAGTCAGGTAGTCAGAGCCAAGATAAAATCGTGTATAGTGCATGTCAGCCTCAAGAACTGTACAATGTGCCATTTGTTAGCCTGCCTCATCAACAATTTTTCATGACCACACAGTCGGTCGTGAATGTTGTGATCATCTTAGTGGGATCATTGACAGTGAGGAATGTTTCAACGACCTGACAGAAGATTATTTATTCATGACTTCCCTCAATTCCATGACTATATAAATGCAGATCAAGCATTCATACCACTTCCATCTCACAATAATTTCTAATCCGGGTATAGTGTATGCAAACATAAGGGATTCTATTGACCATTCATTTTACATTGTTTGCTGCAGAACCTTCCTCCTGTGAGGAATCTAGCCAAAAGAAAGAGAAAGAAAAAGAAAAAGAGAGAGTTGCCTTCTGATTCAGCTGACAAAGAGAAACCAGAAGTTGCAACAAGAATTAGTTCCTATGACTACAGATCATGGGATAAATTTGATGTGGTAAGTATTACAAGGTTCGTACAGGTCATGGAAAACCTGGAAAGTAATGGAATTTCAAAATTTCATTTTCCAGGCTGGGAAAGTCATGAAATTTAGGTGTGGGTCATGGAAAGTCATGGAAAATCAATATGTTCTCTATGAGTGAAAGGCAATAAGACCCAAAGTTGAAAAGTTAACTGACTAGTCCAACAAAAATCAGATTTAATTTCATTATTTAGAACAACACCATCAGTTATTGCTTACCTTAGGTCATGGAATCTTTCAAAAGGTCATGGATAAATTCATGGAAAGTCATGGAATTTTAACAGGTCAAAAGTGTACAAACCCTGTATTACATCTCTATTTCTTTACTGAGCTATAATTTTACCATCATTCTTATTCTCTTTATATTAACATGATGCTGTCGACATTGCTGTTCCTAGCAGTGTGCGGAATTCATGTCCTATGTAAACTTTGGAATGGGCCTTGCTCATCACAGAGTGTTTGTGGCTCAGTGGTAAGAGCATCAGAGCATGGAATCTGAAGGTCTGGGGTTCAATTCCTTTTGGGGACTCAGAGTTTTTTCTTTGTGCCATAAATTTATTTGTTATTTATACATGTATTTACTTGTTCAAAGACTCCATCAGGATAAACTTTAAGTGTTAAAAGAAATGGATGAAGCAGATGAAATGAAGACATTTTCCAGTTCTGAGGAAGAGAGCAAAGAGACTGATGAGGATCTGGAAAAGGAGCAAAGATTACAGAAGGCACTACTCGAAAAGGACAAGGTCAGATTTTGAGTTTGTCGGCTAATTACAGAGTCCTTTAAAAGAATCCATATCTACTCTTTTTGAAATTCCCCTCATTAAGATTAGTTGCTTTTGGGAAAAA